CATTACTACCGTCTGACTGAAGGCGCTTAATCTACTGGCGCGTCAGTAGTAAACACAGTCACTGCGTGACTGACAATGAACGCCTTGTAAACCGTCCCAATAATAATCCCTGCATACGGTTAGACACATCCGCAGTGATACAGCAATGCGATTCACCGGATATCTCTTGAATGACAAAGAAGCGAACGCGTACAGTTTTTCAGTATTTCAGTAGTTGTGGGGGGGTAGGTATCGATCGGCATGCCAGTTTTCCAAGGGATTTCATTCAGCAAGTAAAAATAGAGGATAGTGTAGTTAATGATGAGTTGATTGACGGCGAGGCCTCGTTCCTGCAAGAACCGCTGACACAATTGCAGATACCATCAGGGGTTTATCACTAAACTCGACCCGAATTTAAAGGCTCGGTTACTGACCACGTGGTGGACTGACCAGGTCACTCGCTACCATAGAAACCCAACGCCACAACACTTATCACTGCTAGAGAACTATTATTGCTAGATTTCGTGGCAAGGTCGACCGTGAGACCAATTTTCATTCTTTTCCTTCCTCTCCCGTTAAAAATGATTGACGTTGAGTGATATTGGTTAGCTACATTTCGTAACGAAAGGATATCTATCTAAAATTTGACGAACATCCACGTGTATGTACATATGTACGAGGAAAATAGGATGATACGAATCGATTGATTTTCAAGGAAAAAGAAGTTTGATAAGAAATTAAGCGGCAGACAAGTGTGCACGCTACTGGCACAGCAACACTAAACGAAATTACTTCCATCAGCTGTCGACGTATGCCCTTGGAAATCACAATTAAATGGAATTGTTAGGACGGGTGACCTGTCGAGAGTGAGAATTCAGAAGACAGATAGAAGAAAATCCTGATCATTTCTTATTTAAGATAAGAAAGATGAAGAATATTACAATTTTTATTAGGCAGAGTAGGATTAAGATTTATTGAAATCTTAATTTTGGTGTTAATATTAAAAATAATTTAGAAAAAATAACGTGAATGTTTACACGTAAGTGGTGGGGAGTCACAGACTTATATACAGGGGGCCTCCTCCCATACGTCGTCAGTCATCTCGGGACCGCTTTCGGGGACAGACGGGAGTCCGGGAAAGGGGAAACCTCCGAGGAGGACCGTGAAAAGGGGGATGGGGGGAACCTATCAGAGAGAGAAGTCCGGAACGTTGCCATTTTTTCTAGGGAAGGCTAACTGAGTTATACCAATACTTATTTAATTCATGGTATAAAGCAAACAGTTTCCTAATTTTTGGAACAAAGCAGATATTATCGCAGCAATTTTCTCTGCACTTTGAACGATATTAGCATCGTTCTTAAACAGCAGTGTCTACGTTCTTAGGCTGTTTCCCGTCACGTGTCACGCTATCGCGGAACCAGACTTCTAGCCAACTCATAATGTGCGGAACGGTAGCAGGTGAGAATCGATAGTAGTTTCGGAGCTGTGATCTATCCTTTCAGAAGAATTCACCTTGATAAACGACGATAAATTGATCCAATAAATTTGCGGGAAATGCGTGCTTCAGAAAACGGAAAGCCGCTAGGAATTTGTGATACGCGTGTTATAATATGTTCTTAACGGCGTGTTGAGCGTAAGAACCTGTGACGGAATAGTTACCGTCACGAATGTACTTCTTTGTCCGCCTGAATTGCAACATATCGATCTCGGAATAACTAAGAAAGTGCAAAGCGCAGAGACTAGAAAATTGAAAAGAAAAAAGTTGAATCGAATAAGAGTAATAGTACAAGTCGATTTCTATTAGAACCTGAATTTTGCATTAAAAAAGATTTTTTTTTCAATAAATTTTTTAATTTATGACAAGTGTTATTTATTGTCTCACGTTCCAAGTGTGAATGCAATAGTTTACGTGAAACAACATTTACGAATTTTTGAAAAATATGATTCATAAGATTTTGAAGGGTAATAAAACTTTCGATGAACTTGCAGGATCGAGAAGTCTGAATCGTTATAAAAGCAGCGTGACTTGAAGGAAAGTGCATCCTAAATTCCAGGAATGTTTCACCTGAAAGAGTGAATCGACTAACAAAGTGACGGGTGTTTAATGATAATGTACAGTATCGAGCATGGTAGTCATTCTTGTGAAAAATTATAATTAATATTAATAATATTGTTCTAATAACAAATAAATTTCTCTACATATGAAGATATTTCTAAAAACTTTTTCTAGAGACAGTTACTACACTTGATGCTGTACATATGGTCGCGTTAGATTTTTCTTAGGATTTCCTAAGGTTTCTTCTAGGTTTTCTTTAGGTTTCTTTAGGATATCTCTAGGATCTCCTTAGGATCTTTCTAAGACCTCTAAGGTCTTAAGTCTTCTTAGCCTCTTTCTAGAGTTCCCTAGAATTTCCATAAGATCTCCGTAAATTTTCCCTGTAATTTTTCTAACTCCTCTCAAAACCGAAGGCAAGTGAAGGCTCTTCTATATTTACTCTTAACCGAAAGAAATCTACGTTGCACCTAAGTGTACGTACGACGAACCCACGTGTGCACGTGTTGCCGTAACACGGCGATGACTGAAAATCGTTATATCGTTGATTCACTGTGCTGCACGTCGATCGTTATTGCTCCGTTAATAATTCTCGGAGGCCTTCGGTCTTCGTGATGGCGCGTCGTTAATATTTAATGATAACATCTCCAGTTTCACGTGAGATTACGTGCGCCGTGCAGTAACAATGCTTGATTCGTCACGTTTATTGGTGACCGATCGATGATCCTCGATCGAAGTCGATCGGAAGCAAAACATGAATACAATTGTACTACTAGCCCGAAAGTATACGTATCGATTCTTTTCTACGTGCACCCTATAAATTGACAAAGTTATGGCAAATTTTAGAAATCAATGTTGACCAACTGACCCCAACTTGTACCTAAGCCATACATTAATAGTAGAAACAGGCAATATTTTTTTTATGCGATTGTTTCTTTAATTGATTAAACTTGATTAAACTTGTGAAAGCATCAACACAGAATTGAGCGCTTCATTTAAATATTGTGGCTATACGTTAGGTTTTATAACACGTGGGAGTTCTACTCACGCTGAATTAAGGTCACAAAGGGAATTAAAAGATCGTATAAACGTGTATCTTATTTGATCTTACATCCGACTTATGACTGTACCTTTATTAGGGGCACAAAAAGTCTTTATCGTTTTTAAAGCAATTTTCTTCATTAATTTTTCTTTTAAATCAAGATACTTTTCGTGTACATTATTCTTTAACTTGTATGAAAACTTGAAACGATTTTTATCTTTTCTGATACATGTAAAATGAAAAACTATAGTAACGAAGTAAGCAATGAACTATTGAGATGAATAGAATGTTTTATGAAATTAGTGGAAATAAAAAATTAGTAGTGCTAAATTGATTTTTTAGCATACATAATGAAGATTTATATTTTACATTAATCTGATATTTAGTATCATATATTAATTTGTATTTTTCAGTAATCTTATAGTGCCCCAAAATTTATCAATTGTATTTCATGTCATTGAAAACTTTAAAGTTGTAAATATTTTCTGTATCATTATTATAATTATATTATTATAATTAGAATATAGTATTTGTTATAATAGTATAATAATTTACTTAATTTTCTTCTTTTTTCAATTGACAATTTTAAGCTGCAAGTGCATAAAGCAGTAAAATAAAAATCTTCAAAATGTGCTTTAAAATGCATTTATTTATTATATTATTACAATGATGTGTTTACTTAAAGGTAAAAAGGATCATTATTTACAAGCATTTACACGTGCGTTTATAGTTACAAATGTAAATTGTTTGTATTAAATATTACATGGAAAAGCTATGTTAGGTTTAAATCTTACTTTGTGGAAAATTGCACTGCTATTTTTTGACCATTTTCCATCGCGTTGGACAATCTTGAAACACGTATAGGACACTGGTTAATGTTTCGTCCATGAGGTTCGTACGTTTCGAAAATTGTGTAGCGCACCACGCGAGGGTGGGACGCGCACTGACATCCCTTTGCTGCCGCGACCAGTTAATGTAAGGGTTGCTTAGCTACCACCGTTTCAGTAACGTATCAACAGAGACAGAAACATTTATTTTGTCATTCTTGGAAAATCTTATTCTTTATTCCCACCTACTTATCTTTAATTAAAGTAATTTACACTTTTGGTTTATATTTGATGTATACTAGATAGTATAATAGCAATGGAAAAGAGACATTCATTTATTCAAGATTTTAAATAATTAATAATTATACGTTGATGAACATAAAGAATTTTATATTACTGTTTGATACTGGTTATAATGTACTCACTTCTGAGAATTTCCGATTTTGTTTATAAAGTAGTATATATTGTGATTTCTGTTTTTAATCAAAGTAACAGAACTTATAGTATATACGTTGCATGGACGAAAGGTATATAAAAAATGATTTTATAGATATGTAAATATAGTTCAATAGTTAAATCAAAGTTCGTGAAACTACTTTACAACTGGGGGTATAGCTCAGTGGTAGAGCATTCGACTGCAGATCGAGAGGTCCCCGGTTCAAACCCGGGTGCCCCCTAAGATCTTTACTTTTGTCCTTATTACATTTTTTTACTTCTTTTTCTGTTGTAATGAGAAAGAATTACCAGCTAAATTTTAAGATCGATTGCTCTATCCCCGCTTAACTGAGCTGGGGAACTTTCATAGTTCTCTACTTTCCGGTGATCGATTTCCGTACTTCAACGATTAAAGAATAAAGAATAGCACCTTAGCTTTCTTTTAGTATAGATTTTTTGAACTTCCTGTAATTATTCGTCAAAAAAAAGTTATTAATGATTTTTCCTTCCGTTGTCAATTTTTAAAAATTTGACAACGTCATCTAGTGGACAGGATCTTTTCGCATAATTTTAAAAGTTCCGTAAAATGGCACTTATTTTGCCAAAAACAGGAATTTTCTATTTTGTTAATTACTAAGTTCGCCTAATAGTTCTACTATTAGCTGGCCAAAGCAAGCTAGAGTGGAAACGAATCTCTTTGGTCGCGGCAAGTAAAACCCGAACTTTCTGTTCATCAATGCTATCGTACTATGTATTATACATATAATGGCCATCTTTTATCCTATGGGTATCCTCCCATGATCAACTGTAATAATGGGTACATACAGAAATTATATGAAATTGTTAGAATCTTGGCCACTGGATAAATCAAAAGCTGCGAGGTAATTTGATGTAATTTAAGAAATTTCATTTTCCTCCATGCTCGCTCAATATTTTTATTCTGCATATGGTTGTCATCATAATAATGTTCTTAAGTTTTCGTTTAGGTTAGGATCTTTGTTTGAATCTTTTGTTGAGGTTAGAATCATCGGCTTCAATTTTATTTACATGCTTATTACCATTTAATATAAAGCATATATTTTACATTATGTTATAATAATGATATGGTACTTAAGCCTAAGCACTTTACTATTGATTATTGTATAAAATTTAAGTACGGTTTGTATTCATTTTAGCGATCTAGGTCAACATATTCGTGATCAATTAAAAATTGCATTTGCAAGAGGTGAAGCAACCACTCATGTGGATCGTGAATTATGCGATCGTTATTATATGAGCTTGAAGAGAATTTGCTCTAATCATTATGGTCAAATGTATGCTCGAAGTCATTCAAGTACTGCTAGTGGGTTAACAAAAGACCAATGTAATCTGGCACTTAGACCAGAAATGCTAGAATATTTTGAAGAGAGAAGTAAAGGAATTTTTACACGTGCATTTTCAAAGATTGCAAACTACTATAATGCTAAGAAAGCTGCTCAGTGATACATACTTCAGCTTTGCCCAACGAAACATACACTTCTTATTTAAAAAACAGTATGAGACAATACATTGGAAAGATATTAAAAAATATAGCCAGAAGGCAAATAAATGTGATCAAAATATAGAAAATGTACCACACATACCGGTTATGGTTGAAGAGGTATTACAATATTTAGAACCATCTTTGGGTAAAACATACGTTGATATGACATTTGGTTCTGGAGGGCACTCTACCAGAATATTGGAATCGTCGCCCGAGGTAAAAATATTTGCATTAGATAGAGATCCTGTTGCACACGAATTTGCACAAGAGTTATCTCAAAAATATCCTGGACAAGTAATACCTTTGTTGGGGAGATTCTCTGAATTGCCACAGTTGCTTTGCGAATATAAAGTAAAGACAAATAGCATAGATGGGTTTTTATTTGATTTTGGATGTTCATCCATGCAATTTGATGTTGCTGAAAGAGGATTTTCTTTGGCAAAAGATGGACCTTTGGATATGAGAATGGATGGTTTTAGGTGTCCTACAGAACCTACAGTAGCTGAAGTTTTAGAAAAAATAACAGAGAAAGATTTAGTCCAGATCTTGAGAACTTATGGTGAAGAGAAGCATGCCAAAAAAATTGCAGCAGCTATTATTAACGCTCGATTTGCCTTTAGAAGTTTAAAAACTACTCGTGAATTAGCTCAACTTATTGAGTCTGTTATGTTTCAAGGAAGACACGACCAATTAGGTAGATTTGCTCATTGCGCTACAAAAACGTTTCAGGCACTTCGAATTTTTGTAAACAACGAATTAAATGAAATTAACTATGGTATTATTGTTGCTGGATCGTATTTGAAAGTTAATGGTCGCTTGATAACAATTTCTTTTCATTCTTTGGAGGACACAATAGTTAAAAGGCATATTACTGGAAACATACAGGAGAATGTAGCTAATAAATTACCATTACAATTTGTAAATTATTGTAAATCTTACGATTCATTAGAAATGGAGTCTCTTAACAAATCACCTTGGAAAATGTTACATAAACATGTAATAACACCTACTCCAGAAGAAGTAGATATAAATCCAAGATCACGTTCCGCAAAGTTTAGGGCAGCAACCAAAGTAGTGTAGAATCATTATGATTTTCAAAGTTAGAAATGTAAATAAAATCTTTGAATATCTAATGGTTTATTGTATGTAACATATATCATGTATAACAAAAATAAAATATTCCAATTAAACAAAACTGTATTAATTAGCATTGCATGTTTCAACTGTAAAGGATATATTGATACGGGAATGTTCGAAATGTTGGGAATATGTTTCTAAAATAATCCTTCTATTTCATCTGTTTCACTATTCCAGTCCATGTCGTAAATACTTGGTCTTGTAGAAAGACCTGGCATCATCATTATCTGAGACAAAAAATATTGTTATTATAATTTCAAATTATATTAGTAAAAGTAAGAATTTTTATAATTTCATTTACTTACTTCGCCTACCATAGGTACTACAAAACCAGCTCCAACGGATACAAATATATCTGTAATATCGAGTGTGAAACCCGTAGGTGCACCTTTAATCGATGGATCACCCGTTAACGAGTTTGATGTTTTTGCCATACACAATGGCAATTTATCGTACCCCAATTCATTATACTTTCTGATTTTTTGCTGAACCTATATTTATTACATATAGATAAAGAATGTTTTTGAAATTTTTTTTTAATTAAACAATTATTTAACACTTACTTTATCCGCCAGAACAACTTTTCCAGCTCCGTATATTTCCTTAGCAATAATATTAATTTTTTCTTCAATACTAAGATCAAGATCGTATAATACTTTGAAATTACTAGGTTTTTTTGTTGCAGCTATAACTGCATCTGCAAGCTGCACAGCGCCAGCACCGCCTTCTGCCCAGTAATTGCATATAACTGCATCTGCTGCACCGCTATCTATTGCTACTTGTTTAACTAATTCTAATTCCGCTTGTGTATCGGTACTGAAATTAAGTTTCGTGTAATTAATTTTGTTTAAATTTTCTTTTTTTGTGAAACTTACGCATGAACGTTAATGGCAACAATAACAGGCACGCCAAATTTAATTCCATTACTGATATGCTTCTGAAGGTTTGGGAGCCCTTTCTTAACTAAATCAAGATTCTCTTCCAGATACTCTTTTTTCAATGCAGCACCAGTCGTTACCGTAGGTCCACCACCATGCATTTTCAGTGCTCTAATTGTTGCAACCAGTACAACAGCATTCGGTACATGACCAGAAGTTCGGCATTTAATATCAAAGAATTTCTCCATACCGATGTCAGAACCAAATCCTGCTTCGGTTACTACGATACCTTCTTTTCCAACTAATTTTAACGCCATAGCATCTGCTATAATGGAAGAACAACCATGCGCTATATTTGCAAATGGTCCAGCGTGGACCATTACCGGTGTTCCTTCCAAGGTTTGCATAAGAGTTGGTTCAATGGCATCTTTCAATAATATTGCCATCGCTCCAGTCATACCCTATACATATACATAGTTTAACAAACAATTACATCAAATTTTTAATATTCTTTGTTGTATATAAATATACTAACAAAATCTTCGGCAGTTAAGGGTTTCCCATTTTTGTTGAAAGCAACTACTATGTTGCCCAATCTTTCCTTCATATCATCAACAGTGGTAGATAATGCAAGTACTGCCATTATTTCAGAACCGACAGAAATGCGGAATGATGTTTCCCGGGTTTTACCCTTCTCAGTCGGACTTTGACCGATGGTGATTTTACGTAGAAATCGATCGTTTATGTCGACCACTGAAACAAACACATTTTATATATTCCATGAAATTTGATATATAAGTACAGTTTACTATACCACGAGTCCAAGTGATATTTTCAGGATCTATGTCTAATCTTGCGAATTTTCTTTTTTCCTCTTCTGTTAGGCTATTGGGGTCAGTCTTTGTGATACCAAGCTTTTCCAAGCGTCTCAATTGGATTTTCGAGAATTTCCTCTCGCCTTTAACAGTCGGTACAAGTCGGTCGTAAAGTGCTCCATCGGTCTGAGTAGATTCGTGGAAATATCTGGCATCGATTTGTGCTGCCAACAAGTTATTGGCCGCTGTTATGGCGTGGATATCACCTGTTAAGTGTAAATTGAATTCTTCCATAGGAATGACCTGAAAGTAATGTTTGGATTATACTTTTAGCTTCAGTAATACCACTTGGGTTTCTCATATAAGAAACTTCAATTTAAAAAAAAAACGTACTTGGGAGTATCCTCCACCTGCAGCTCCTCCTTTGACCCCAAAAGTGGGTCCTTGACTGGGTTGTCTCAAAGTCACAACCGAGTTCTTTCCTTTATGTGCAGTTAAAGCTTGTACTAAACCTACTGACGTGGTACTTTTGCCTTCACCGAAAGGTGTTGGGGTGATACCAGCAACAACCACGAGTTTTCCATTCGGCTGGTTTTTCAATCGTTTTAGAACGTTCAAGCTGATCTTTCCCTTTTTACTTCCATAAGGACTGATCTCGTTAGGGAACAATCCAATCTCTTCTGCTAACGTTGTAATCGGTTTTGGTTCTTGACTCCTTGAAATAGCTATATCACTGGGCACAGGCTTTTGCGGATTGATTTTTAAGACTCTGAGTTTCCATTCGACGTTCAATAGTTTATTAGCTGCTCTTTGAGCTGATACTACCGTGTTCTTCATCAACATGGCCACGGTCATCGGACCAACGCCTCCAGGTACTGGAGTGATATAAGAAGCTACTTTCACAGCTTCTTTGTAGTCCACGTCGCCTACTAAATGTTGCCCACTTTTCTTCGTGGAATCTGAAAGAGTTCTTTAGATTGTAATATCACTATTTTTGTTATATTCATTTATTTAAAAAACCCACTACTCGTTTGTAATCTCAACTGAACGAAAACAGCTAGCTTTGATAAATTCGTTCATGTTTTTCTCTAATATCAGTTTCAATAGAAAGTGTTAGGTGTTAAAGGTCGCATTAATGAAGATATATTATGAAATTATATCCAAGTACCTGGTATGGAATTAATCCCACAATCGATTACGACTGCACCTGGTTTGATCCAACTTCCTTTGACCATCAAGGGCTGGCCAATGCCAACCACTAAGATGTCAGCTTGAGAAACCTTAATCAAAATAAACATTTAACACAGAATATAGTTAAAAATCTTTAAGGAGTATAGTATTTAATATTTACGTACAATTTGTGGAAGGTTCTTTGTTTTTGAATGGCACACAGTTACTGTAGCATTGTACCACTTTAGTAGTTCAGATACAGGTGTGCCGACGATTTTGCTTCTACCTAGAACTACTGCTTGTGCACCGGCAATCGGTACTCCACTCCTGATAAATATTAATGTACAGTGATACTTCGTTATACGACCTTAATCAGTTCTTGATGTTTGGACTTATACCGAATAGGACGCATACCAAACGTATCTTGTTATATGATATCCTTACTTGTACGATCAGTCAGTTAATACATCAACTCCGAATATAATTGATTATTAATTTAATTTTTCTTCTGAGATAATTATTTTAAAATGATGCAAAATTCGCACAAAAAATTTATATCGTCTACCGAACAGAAGTCGTATACCGAGCAAAATTTGTCACGTCCAAACAGGACGTATTCCGAATTGGACCTATTCCAAAGCAGACGTATACCGAGGTACCACTGTATCTATTATAGTAGATCATGAAGATAACTAGGCAATTATTGTCGTTTGTTTTCTAAGCTGTTATTAAATAATACGCATTGCATGCATATTTATAAAATAATAGTAGAACTGAAGTAGAATGCTAGTCTCGAGAATATATATACGTAAAATGAGAAAAAAATCCTTACAATTAAATACGTCGACTTATCGTAAGACATGTAATTAATGCTAAAGGCTGTCAAACTAACTAATAAGAAACTAACTCATGCGTTTGAATACTTTTGTGTTTCATTGCAAGATAGCCCTGTTTAGTAAACTTTCTATATAGTGGGAGGTGTAAATTATAATTTATTTAATTAATAATCAATCGTCTAATTTTATTTATCTCAAGATGTAGCAACGTTTAAAATCTTTCGATTTTAGTATTCCGAATTTTATGCATTTATTTTGAAGATTTTTTGAAAAAATTTGAAATAAGTAAAATGGCGTTTAACATACCTTTTAATAAGTTCAATGCACCCATTTGGAGTGCACGGTAAAAATCCTGACATATCGCCGATGGCTACTCTCCCCTCATTGATAGTATTTAATCTGAAAGCATAAAATTCGATTAAAGAATTTAAAAAAATTTAAGTATTTATTTGTCATTGATGATTTTCAGTTTTCTAATAAAAATATACAAATATTTTTTAACGGGATGCAAGTAAGAAATTATTATCAAGAGTGCATATACTTAAAGACAACCGTGGTGTTATCAACTAATTCATAATATTTTACGTCATAGGTCAGCATATCAACGCTTTAAACTTTCTTCTGTAACACATTGATGTTATGTGTACTTGCGTAACATATTTTTGCAAAATGCTTTCGGTTATAAACAATTTGAATTACTTCATATCTTCAATAATATATTTACACATTTATTACTTACCCGTCTACATCTTTTTCAGGCAATACTAAATCGGTAATCAAATGAGAATCAATTTTGTTAACACTATCGAGAGGCATTTGTACAATAATTCCATGTACGTTTGGATCATTGTTTAAATTGTTTACTTTATTTATTAATTCGATTTCCGTAGTTGTGTTTGGTAATTTGACGTGTTCCGCAGCGATTCCTATATCGCTCGCCGCTTTTATCTTCATTCTTATATAAACATTTGAATCTTCTCTGCCGCCAACTTGGACGATTGCTAAGCCGGGTACGAAATTCGGTAATTTTTGTCGTAGAACTGCCACATCTTCTTTTAATCTTTCACGAATTTCCCTGAAAGAAATCGAAACAGATTCTATCTATATTCTTTCGAATATTTAAATTTGGCGGGCTATGGCGGTAATAAACAGTTCTTTCCGGTTACACAACTTACAGACTAAACTCATAACCTCACATAAAGGAATACAGCCTGTTTTTCTAGATTAGGTTAAGGTTTCAAAGTATGTATCCAGAAACATACATGCACCTCTTTATGCAATTTTGAAATCGATGACTAGTGCAATAAACACTATCGACCTCTATGCGACGTTCAATAATCGAAATATCAGTTTGAATTTTGACTTGCGTACAATTAACTATTTTCAAATGTGCAACATGTGGAGGTATTTAGTGAAATTATTAATTAAATGTTTAGGAATTGTATCTTAAGTAGTCTGAAAGATTTGATTTTAAACGATAACTGTGTCAAAGTGTTGTTGTTATAATTAAAAATAATTTGACTTACTTTGCCAGTTCGGTACCGGACAACACAACTCCTCGTACATCCGTCGACATAACTCTATGGAGAAATCTATAAATACAAAAGAAATTACCGTCCTGTTCCCGTCGATCTCTTTCAAATAATCACCACTATGATACACACGAATTTGGAAGCGTAATTTATCGTAAGACCGATGATAGTCGAATGGATCGTTTTAGAGTAGGGGATCAGCTCAGTTCATCGGATCAGTTCAGTATATGTAGATGTGTGTTTACAGCGATAACGTGTTTAAGTCTTTCACACATTCGAACAACACTCCTTCATTTAAATGGCCACAGATTCCAGTAGAAGTGTATGAGAACTACCAAGCAAACGTTGCATGTATTCTTATTTTTATGTTTTTTGTTCATTTTACATTCAAGTATCTCAATGGTTCTCATACAGATTTCTATGCAATTAAGAATTAAAATGGTAAACGATAATGGCAAATGTTAAAAAATAAGAAATTAATACGAATTTGATGGAAAAAGTTATAAGTTATGGAATAGTTTTTATTAAATTTATTTTGATTGTTAAGGCTATTATAAGATGTAGCTAAAATGGTAAATGTCAAAATGGGTAATTATCAAGCGCTATTATAATATTCATATAGAAAAATCTTAGGGGGATATTGAAAGATTTACAAATAAATAAATTTATTTAATTTCATATCTGTAGACACGTACTTTTTTCTATCGAAAATTTTTACCTTGTTTACCATTTCAATTCTTCAGTTAGAAAGTAGGATACATTATGTATAATATGTTGATCACAGCACTAGAAATAATCATATCTAGTATACTATTAGATTGGCGTAAAAATAATTGCGGTTATTAACATATTGAGAGCATCAGTGGAAATGACCATGTGCAGGACGGCACATTATAATAATTATTAACACTTTGATGGTCACCGTTCCGTATTCGTGATTTTTCGTTTTATTATTATCTATGCTATCTAACACCAATTACACTTTGAAAATGAAAACAAACGTAGCATTGCAAATAGGTATGAAAAATAAATATTAAGAATATGAAAATTTTCATAACTGTTCTTACTTAAAAGTTTGCAGCATCTGTACAATAAATCGATACGACAATTCTTTGAATACTAACGGGTTATTGACAGAGATAGTCTTCGTGGGGGTCCAGAAAATATTAGAAAACAAGGAGGGTGTTTATCAACTTTTTGTGTGACGAAATTCTTGATAAACTTTAACATATTACGAGATATATTATTTTTCTCACGAGTTGTCTTGTGATGATTCTGGACAAAAACGATTTCTTTTTTAGAAAGGCTTTTAATTCTCCTAAAAATCATCCATCCTAATACTAATTCGAATAAAGTATTAATTATTTATTAATGAAATAAGATATTTTTTAAGGCATTCGTATTAATATAAAAATATATTCAATTTATATACAGGGTGTTCGACAATGGGGGGTATCCTTTGAAAGGGTGGTAGAAGGGTTGATTCTGAACAACTTTTTCCTTTATCAAAATGCTTGTTAAAATTTAGTTTTTGAATTATTAACGAAAAATTACGCATAACAGACGGGCTCAGCCGCAGCAGTATTGGCTATGAAGATCGTAAACATATGATGTTTATTATTTATGTTATCGCCACGATGCCGAGTAGTTTGATCGCGACCACAGTCGAGCGCAGTTCTCGTACCCAACACTCCCGCAGTTCAGTCCTCGTCCTATACACGCTTTGATTGGTCGGTGTTTTTAATTAATAATTCTTAAACTAAGCCTTAACGAGCATTTTGATAAAGGAAAAAGTTGTTCGGAATCATCCCGACTATTATTCTCTGGAAGGATGTCCATCCCTAACCGAACACCTTGTATCACTGCATTCGTGTACGGTAAACAATCGAAGTATGTGCAAATCATTTATCATATTTAGAATATCGTAAATAAATTACTTGAAATAATTCAGAAATTTTCTGTTTTGATTAGATAAACAATATCTCCATAATCTCTCTTACAAAGTATTCTGATTAAATATTTAATACTTTAATACTTTCTTAATGATATTGCATTTGGTAAGCATTTATATGCTCTCATTCATAGGTCATAAGACATTTAACCTATTTTGATAAATTACTTAAATAATATGTAGCTTTATTGATTCATAATTTTGTTTAATAAAGATTGAAATGTGGAAATATTTAATTATTTAATACTAAAATTCGAAAGAGAGGATATATTATTGAGACGTATTTAGAAGGCTCAGGTTGGTGTTCCATTAAGGAAATTCGTGAAGGTTGAAAGTTGTTTATATTGAGCTTCGCGAACTGCTCGAACTGTAGTATTCTCGGGAAGTTTGCAGAGAACTCTGCAAAAACAGCTTGCTTCCCTCATTCTGTTCCATGCTTCAGAACCCGCGAGTCGATAAACCCATTTAATTTACTGTAGACCAGGACGAAAACTAAGCAAAAACTAATTCTAAGCTCCTTGATGTCACGCCAATTAATTGTCTCACGGAAACATCCGTATGGTTAACGAATAAACATTCTCTTCGATACAAGGAGGTAAGAACATTAGATTCTATTTCGCTTCTCTTAAAACTCCTATTCTTAATTATTGTTAATTAATTTTAAGTCATCCAAATTAACTGTCTCTGATCATTTTAACCCTTTGGGGACAGAGCATTCTTAAGCTTGCACAGAGTATTATTAATTTGAAGAAAAAGAAATAATAATTCCATTCTTCAAAGAACATATGTTCTTTGGTATTTGCAATATCGACTTGCTGGATCGAAGAAAGTCACGTGCAGTGTCTTAAGATTGCTATGTAGAATAAAAACGTGAATGTCTGAAAGGATTGTAGGTTATCTTGGAACAGCTCAATGAAATTAACCATGGCATGTTGTATGTCCTTTATTCGGCCGTCACGTTGATTGGGGATCTGTAATATCGTTAGGCCATGGTTTTCGACTAACCATTACGCCGTTTCACCGTTCGAGGCCGGAGCAAACGGCGAAGATTAGTAAGATTAAGCAAGATCCTTCTTCAGGGTGGCTTTCTGAGTCCTCAGGAGGGCGTAAGTCCTACAAAGGAGCGCTATTCATGGTCACGTGTTTGAGGTTCTAGTAAAGGATGTACAAAAAGCTATTAATCATAATAAATATGATTTTCCATACCCTATTTGATGGATATTTTCAAAAAGTTGAACATTAGAATTTACTGGCACCCAACCATTTTGTATTAAGAATATTAATGAAGAATTTACGTCGTTATATTCGTTAAAATTTAAGATTTAAATTAATATAATATAAGTGTTATTTCGTCACTTTATTCATAAAATGATTACGTACTTACAAGTTAGTAAAACTTGTTCACTTCATCGTTTGGTAGAACTTGAATGCCCGTAAACGTTCGGATCGCTAACTGTTTAAGTACACTTTCAATACACCTCCCGAAGGACTTGCGCTCGCACAAGTCTCAAATCTCGCGGGTCTTAGCCTAAGGTTAATTAATATTAGACCAACAGAAGCGGGTACGAAGATCACGTGGAAATTGGCGGTCTCCGTGAAATTGCTGGATCGACGTAGCAATTGGCATCCATAATTTTCCCATGATATAGATTTCTGCCAATCTCGTGAACCTCTCGATATATAAATATATTTATTAATTGATTTAAATTTTCTTACAATATTTTTTTTTTAATTTTTACCACAATTTCGATACTTTATTCATATTACATTACTTTTCAGATTATGTAATGCAGCTTAATTTTCAGGTTATTCGAAACGTCCATGAACCCATTAATGTTGACTGTCCCTTCAAGTTATCTAACTGATTTTTCTTTTCAGATTCTGGCTCTTCGAATCCTGCCTGGACCATCCTCCTATCATCCTCCCCTTCTCGTAATAGCAATACAGCTGAAACCGGTATGGTGGAGCGTTCAAGTCCGAGCGAAGGGTGCTGCTCTGTTAGAGGGGTGAGTTTGTAGCTCCAGTCGTGGAATAGGTACGTACAGATTCCAACTTCTGCGGATAGTTAAGCTTAAGGGTTGTACGGAGGAACTAGCCTTGGGGTGACTGGGACCACGGATGATCAGGGCTGAAGTAAACGGGCATAGGGCGGGAGGGAGAGGCCGAAGGAAAGGGGCTGGATTGGGTGCTATAGGGTGGAAGATTTCTCCATCTCGGATAGCAAAGCAACTTGGACCGCAAATTCCTTTACGCGGTTCAGCTAGGAGTGCATCCACGGCTACAGGGAACCGACTCGATTTCGTTAATAGGTCGCGTTTAACTTCCGGATTTTATTCCCTGACGACCGTCTATCTTGTTTTCTAACAGATTCTTCCTACAATTTTTTATATATTAGTCGAGAAAATTATAAGGCACCCCATCCAGTCTCTATGGACTCTTATGCACTGTTCGGGTCAATTTGAGCCGGACAAAGATTTTGTTTATTTTTTAGATAAATATATTTATTTATTATATATCGTTAAGAAATTTTCTATTAGCTATTTATAATCCAAGTGTATATTACCCAGCGCCGAATCAAGGGGTAAGTATACAAAAATTGATAGAAAGGAAATATCGAAAAATATCTGATTACCATTCGAGATGCAGAAAATGATAATTCTGTCCGAATAAATCATAACTAAGATAGCGTTTAGACTTCACTTAAAATGCAAAGCGTGAAAGACATAAATTACCCGATGAATCAAGTGACTTCGCGAGCCACTTGTAAACTACCGCGGTCGTAAACCTACCATTACTGCACTCTACATTTAGTGCACCCTTACTCTCCACCTCTATAAACATTTACATTTACATTTATATTGCGCTATCCGACTGAACATGACGAAATTTCGGTTCCCGTAACAAGCCACGTAATTGTTCGTTTCTATCGACGTTCCATAATCCAGTGTCCACTAAAAATTCAGTTTATCTCGACTCTATTTTCATTTCTAACAACAAGTTTTGCGAATCTTATTTTATTGATATAAATTTGCAAATCTTTATTCTAAAAATTTTATTTTTAAATGTATTAAGTTTATTATTAAATATAATATTTTCAAAATTTAATTTACGATAAATTTGCAATTTTATTCGATACTTTCATCATGTCAGGGTAGAGGTGTAGATGATAGCGCTGTTTCCAATCAAGGGTCCTTAGAAGAGACTAATCAAAATTAATAGCCAGTTGCCACTCCTCCGTATCTAGGCGATACCACGTGGAGACGGCTCCGAGATTGGATATGTTGGCAATAAATAGACGATTGAACGTGTAGCCTTGGTGTTAGACGACGGAAGGGATATGAAATTAATACAACTCCATCCTGCAGGCCTGTCATGGAAGGCGTCTCTGCCTTCACATTGGTATTTCTGGCATCCTTAGGTTTCTCGACCGTAAGGACCCTTCGATGGGAATATCAAGGAAATTAGAGACGCTAGTAGATAGGCCTGAATTATCGACGGTCCGACGAATCACCGTTCCTTGGTCATCAAGATTTACTCTTGAAAATGATTACACGTTCTGTCTATGTTTGTCACGATTTCATCTCTCTAATTTTAATAGGAAACTCATTTCTATTAGATACATTTAATACGTATAAAGCTACAGATAGATGGAAAACTTTATTTTGTATGACAGAAAAGGAAGCTTTAAACTTTAACGAGATTAATAAAATGCATTTAATACATCCTGGTGTGAAGTATCGGAAGTTTATACGAGATAACTTTGCATTCGACTTCTGAAACGAGTTTAGCATTAGCGTATCCGAGTTTAGCTACTCTTGCTGATTAGCTCGAGAGATTCTATAGTTTGGCAATCGAAAGCATTCCGTTAAAGTTGCTCGAAATGGAAAGTAATTGAAGAGTATTGGAAAGTAATATTCCTTTTATAGCATTGTGAATTTTATAGATTACGTTCTTTCGTATCAATTATCAGTTTCTCCATATTCGTCCATGTTCCGATGGTTAAAACTGATTTCATCGAAATATGAAATTTGTGTTGCGTCTTTCTTATTAGCAACACAAGTGCCGATTGATCGTAGCAATGGTTTGGAGTGGTTCGGTCAATAGTTGGGAATTTCGAGGGTGCTGTAACTCTGTTCAGGGCAGGGACAAGAAAGATAACTTTGTAGAGAGGGTAAGACGTGGCTTGCTGGGGGTTGATTGGGTGACCCCTCACCATTTCTGCTCGCTAGTCGAGCATCACCCTTCGTCCAGCATCTTGTTTCCTCTGCGATCAAAACGATTTCACCCCCTCCCCGTTTGCTATGCTTCGTAAAAATATGGCTGCCCAGAGATATTCAAGGGGGTACTAATACATCGTCCCGAAGCCTTGATGGTTTGTTGGAAGGGTGGTTGGTTCGTCTTAGAGAAGTCTAGCAGAAAATTCAATGGTATTTGTGTTATTAATTTCTTATAAAATGAATAAGAATTTATTATTTTTAAAAATTATATTGATAATATAAATTTTAAGTTAACCCTTGTTAACCTAGTTAATTTATGTGTATAACAATTTCAATTCAAATCTCTTTCGATCTTTCATTTTCATGAAATGTCATAAAAATTAATGCAGTTGATGTATAATGAAGTATTGTTCCTGGAAACATTTCTTAAAAGTAAATTGCATGTTTTCTCTGGTAATTGGCTTTACGGTAAATAACTAAATTTAGATTTAATACGAGTGTAGAGAAAGTACGTGCAATTTGTATGATTTTATTTTTCTCTTTTTACCTACAATCTCCACATCGAAATTACAGTGAAAGCAGTGGATTCTGTAGAACATTGATTACCTCAGAAAAAAGGGAAAAGATTGGCTACTTATTAAGAATTAAGAATTATAAAAGAGACTTGACGAGGTTTAACGAAGCATAAGTGGAAGATTCGTTGATTGATATACACGTCATGAAAATTTGTTTTGAAGAGTATATCAAGTTGTATGCAATTGCTTTTCCATAAGCAATTTTCTTCTTCGTTCCTTTTTTCATAAGCAGCTTTTCTAGCTGCAAATTTAATTTTTCATTTGTTTCTCGAATATTATTTTTTCAATATATGATCATCTTTCATTTGAAAAATTTAAATATCGAACCATGTTAGTATACTGTTCTGAGTATATACATATTTCATAGGTCTGGGTCACAAATAACCCAACCATGGTCGTTCAAGTATAAATGGAATCTAACATTCCATTGCATTTATTACTTTCACAGAAGCGTTAATTGCGTGCAATTGAAAAGGATCGATGGTCCAATACGTAGTTACATATATTTCATTGTAGCAAGGATTTGGTGGTGAGGCAAAGTTTGTCCAAAGTTTAAGGAGTATCGGTGCAACGGGGCTGAAGCATCGAGATTTCTCTACAGAGAACAATGGTACACCCTAGATTCTCTTCTTAGATAGCATCTGTATCGAGGATGCAGAAGAGAACGAGTAGGAAGGTCTTGCCACCCCCATTCCCTACCTCGTGGAACTCCTCTACCCAGACCGTCTCGAAGTGCCTACCATCTTAACAGCCATATTGAATTATGGTTATTACGACGTCCTGTCCTTACGATATTTCCTACCCTTTGAAGTCCAGGGAAATTGGACCCACGAGAGTTACGTGTCTTTTTCGTTTGCGGTCAACGGGGACCGTTTAACACGAACCTGGTTAATATTATACTTGATATAGTAGGTATACTGCTCCTTTGGTGTACAGGATTGAAATTTTATTGAAATAATGTTAGCGTTTGAAATAACAAAGGAAATTATATTTGGTGGAAAGTTTAGCTGAACTGTGATTAAGTGTTTCATTTAATCACTTACTATTCTAGAGTTTAAAAATTTAAAAATTTTATCATTCTAAGATTCTGGGATTCTAGTAGATTTCCAAATTCTCAAATTCTAAAATTTTTAATTCCAAATTCCAAATGCCAAATACTTCGAATTTTTAATTAAAAACGAAAAAATTTGAAACATCGAAGCACCAAAGTCTAAAGGTACGATCGGGGCCGTCTAATCAGAAATCTCGTGGGTACGATCGTTCAACTGAGAATATCTTGATGCAGACGCTCACGGTATCGACAGTGCATCCCTTAGGCCCACCCCGGAACTTTCCTTATCCACCTTCCTGCGTATCTCCGAATAACCTTAGTTACTTTGCTCGACTGTTAGGTTGCTGAAGGCAGCATACGGCCGAAGTACGAAACTCTCGGTTCCTAGGAGAGTCCTAGGTAATCACCGAACTTCGCCGCTCCCTCAGGAACGGGCCACGGCGTTCCACCCTCCCCCACCCTCTTTTCATCCCATGCTAGTAGGAGCCGATATAACTTTGTTCCTAGGGGTGCAGTACCGCTACACCAGCTAAGGCTGCCTTGTAGCTATCGTATGGCGCTTGCTTTTCTCACTTTGAACGGTTTGCGCTTATACGATAGCCATCTTCCCGGCCACTGATTGAACATTCCATTTTCTTTATTGTAATGGAAAATACTATCTTCAGGATGATATATTTTTAACTTTGGGAATTAACTCTTGTACGGCGGACCATGGAGAGAGTTCCAGTTCTTTAATCGAGACTCTGCTTTCAGGGCTTTTATTTTTATTCATTGTGAATTGGTATAGGGAATCTCTATGGAATATCCTACTTTGCTACCAAAATACCTGTCTGTATCGTTAGACATTTACAAGATTTAACGAGATCTCCTCGACGCGGGCTGATGCACGTTTAGTGCTTAATGTATACCACACAAATCCGCGTGGTCCTGAAAATCCTAAACAAGCCGCTCTCTGTCCGGCTTAATTGGCTTTCTAGAAAATCCTATAATTGTACCGTCAGTGTTTGTGGAAATCTATTATTTGTCTTCATCAATGATGCAAATTGCAGATGAATGATTACGTCCTAATCCATAATTAGGTATTAATGTAGTTGTATTCCAAACGTATAAACCTACTGTATAAAATTAGTTTAATTTTTCTTTTCAAAATTTCTGCAACTTTTGTAAGATTTTCATATACCATTTCTATGTGTATATTTTAGAAGCTTTTTTCTTGAAAATTAATATAAATAGCAATCCATATTTTGTGTGTGATATTTGGGTACAAAATACTATTGCCACATACGATCATTCTGCAGCTCTTAAGGACGAGCCGTAACTGGTTCTTCAAAACATTGAGAATCATTTTGACTATAGCATCCATCTTTGTATAAAGATGAAGAGGCTAGAAATCAGTGGTCAGATCGATGCGTGCGGGTTTCGTTGGTTCACAACTCGACGAGAGTTTCACTCTTATCGCGAAATTCGAAACAAAGCGGGTCGATGGACAATAAGGTCGTTGAACAGATCCACCTATCTCAACAGTGGTGGCTTATTATCTCGAACAAAAGCAGAGTTCTAGCAGCCTTAAGGGGGTGGTACTGGCTACCCTAGGAAAGATGCCGACGCCATAAGCCTACTAATGGATTCCTTCAGCAGCAGCTGTCGCCTTAAGATTGACCGACTTCAACTAAATTAATCTCGACGTCTATGCCATGCCATTTTCCTTGAATTACGGGTCGAAGAAAATTTTATGCCAGACCTTTGAAGTGAGGAAGATCTTCAGTTTTTATATTGAATCAATATTATATTAATCAAAGATTGATCAGAGTTTTCTCGTTCAAAGTGATGAAATTAATATAAAGATACCTTTGGATTACTACTAATATAAATTGGAAACTAAATGTACACGTTGGTGAATTTAAAGCTGATTTACGATGAATTGATTCATGACTGAATAGCTTATTGAGATTAAATTTGGTGAAATATGAATAGAATGAATTTGTTGCATTTTCCAGGAAATTAATATGCTTCCTCTTTATTATGTAACAGGTTCATTAATATATAATTGTTTATTGATTGTTTCGCTTTCTATTATTTTGAAGAAATAAAGAAATGGTATAAGATTCAAAGAATGAGAATGAAAAATAATCCAAAATGAAATTTAAACTTTGTTCAATCAGCACAGGCTCGATTTTCGTGTCCAAGGGTTAATCATTTACAAAAAGCAAATATTTATTGCAATTTTGAAAAAGAATAAATTGCAGTTGTTGATTAAACTACAGTAACAGAGGATACTGTCCAACGGTTTTCTAAGAGATGGCGTACGCTGCCATTTTGCGAGCAAAATTGCACACGGACTGAGAGAATTATTGATCAAATCAACCCTCTGATTTACCAGAGCCACCTACGCGAGAAGGGAGTAAGTTTCTACCATTATTGCTTCTCAATGGGCAAAAGTCATTCAAGGGTTAATTAAACGCTGATAATGAACGTATTATTTTCTAAATGATGCTTATAAAAAGTAGGAAAAAATAGTCAATAATCTCCCAAATAACCAATGAACTAACGAAGCAAAATCTCTCAAGCTGTCGGATACAGAATGACGATGTAAAGAAGAGTTCACTTACCTCTGTGGATAATATTCATCAGACCGTTTCCTTTCACTAGCACAATGCAAACTGTTCTGAATTTCGTGTCTGGTGCAAAGACGTAAAACTGAAAGATGTTTTTGAAAACCAGTCTTCTCCCTCCGTCGAGGGTTGGCTGGACACGAACTGGACGAACTGGTCGCGAGAACGCGAAGGGATTCTTCCAGCATCCTGGTGGACCAGTCGTGGACGACGAACGGACCAGTCGGTGAATAAAAAACGAAAAATTCCGTTGAGGACAAACTGGACATCGCGAGATGACCAACCGGTTCAGCAGATGTTTCTGGTCCAGCTGCCGTTTGCTTTTAGAGTATGACCGTCGAAGCTGGACGAGAATGAGAGTAACTGGGGGTTGAATCATCTATCCTCTTTGTGTTAGTCAGTTTAGATGATTTTTATGTAGATTTTGCTCGGAATTTGGCATGGTGAAATTGGGGATGATATTTTTGAAGAATAATAGGATTAGGAAGGTAAATCGTTATTGAACATTGAAAATTAAATAAATATTATTATTTTTAAGCAAAAGATTATGGAAAATGTTGGACATTAAATTTAATCAAAATTAGAATTATTATTTAGTTGAAGTTTTATTAGGAGAATAAAACGTTGAATTTTCATTGGATTTAGGAAGGCAAGCCTTTGCTACAGAATGGGAATTGAACAAATATTTTAGAAAAATAAATAGCTTTGTGGGAATGTTGGAAACTAAATTA